GCGACGACTGATCCCCATGACGATGTGACAGATGAAGGCGATGGTCATGAGAACTTGGGCTAAAGCGGTGTATCGGTCAATCTGACGCTCAAAATGATGAGCTGCACACGTATTGTTAGTGACAACAACAGTGATCAGGAGAAGTCGAGCTGCTTACCACTGTCAAATACGATTGATTGTACATGAGATCCCAGAGACTTATTCCACTCGTACAACTCGTCTTCAAGGCCATCGATTTGTACGATTGCGGCGCTCTTGCCGGATTGGATCGATGGGACTTGACGAGTGAGCTGTTGCAGGGCTGTACGAAGATCCCCCAGGCGTCCTCGAAGTTCAAGATAAAGTTGGATGCTCCTCGGCTGAGTCGACTTTGTCTGGCACTCCGTGATGCCATCCTGGATGCTTCGGAGAATGCGCATTTGTCTGCGCGTGATGTAGTCGCCGCCATTATGATCAGGCCCAATGCCCGACCCAGTTGCGCCTGAGTCCACCACAGGTCTCAGGCTATGGGAGCGTTGTCGGGAGCGGGATGGACGATTCAGAGATTCGGTCATGGCGGTGGAGACGACAGCAATCATATCCTGTAGATCCGGAAGTGTGGGAGGTGGCACCGACGCCATATGCAGAGCGGCCAAGCGCTCCGACATTTGGGAATGGTGGGTACGTCGTGCCGGCATGGCTGGACAATGGTCGTGGAATTGATGGAGAAAACATCGAGCGCCGAGTTACCTGCATAAATACGACTGATGAATAACAAGCATCGAAAGAAAGAGGATGAAAAGTACAACACACATTGTAAAAAGTACAATGCACATTGTCGGGCGTCGACAAAAAGAAGTACACCGCACAAGACGGGATTGGTCTCGTGAGAGCCAGACCCTCCAGGGATAATTCATGATGGGTCGCGATGTTGCGATGTCGCTGGATGAGCAACGTAAGAAATGATATAAGCGAGCTCAAAGCGAAATACAACGTACGCAGGCAAGGCAACGGGACGGATGCGGGACGAGGCCAGAACACGTATACAAAGCATTGTCGCAAATGGAACAAGAAACGGTTATGGTGCAACAGAATTGCAGCGCACTCCGTCACCACGGACCGAGGCGATCACTGCACCAATGCCACACTCAGTGACCACACACTGAGGCGACCAAACTGCGCTGTGCAGCGCCGACGACGCGCTCGGTGACCACACACCGAGGTGAGGCCAGGGGAGGGGGAGAGAAAAGCGACAGATGATGTGCTCCAGCCACTAGATCACCTTACCTAATCATTGCCATCCTTGACTTCAGCCACATCGTACTTCATCGTCGGTGTAGTCGTCTTTTGCGGCGCTCGCGACGTGGTTTGCGAGCGCCGCTCCGGGAGTCGCCGTCTATGATCCTCGTCTTGTTGTCGCCACCAAATGCATCATCATCGCCACTCTTGCTTGCGTGCTCGCGACGTGGTTTGCGAGCGTCGCCTCGGGCCCATCTCCGTTCAGGCTTTGACGCCAGACATCGGCGTCGATCTCGTGTGACATCGTAGTCATTGGTTGGCGTCGACCTCCTGTGGCATCGTAGTCGTCAATGCTCGTGAGTGTCATCCCCTGTTCATAGACTGTGACGCAACTCATCTGTTCACCACAGTTCAGCTCCTCCAAATGCCCGACGCCATTGCCGTCTATGACTCGTTCGTCATCACCACCGACCGCTTCGTCATCACCCTCCTCCAGAGGTTCCTGACTTGCAAGCTCGTGATGTGGTTCGCGAGCGTCGCTTGAGGTCCTTAACTTGCAAGCCCGTGACGTGGTTCGCGAGCGTCGTTTCAGGCCCAATAGGCTTTCACGCCAGACATCGGCAATGCTCGTGAGTATCATCCCCTGTCCATATACTGTGACGTGACTCATCTGTTTGCCACAGTCCAGCTCCTCTAAATGCGCAACGCCGATCTCGTTTCCACCCCTTGTTTCAAAAGGCCGCGTTTTTAATCACGTCGCCATTCGGAAGCCGCAGCGTGCGATACGCGGTTCGAGCCTGCGACCCGGGCGTCGTCGTCTATGACCACCCTGTCATCACCACCGAACATCACCTTCAGAGGTTTTTTTTGGCTTGCAGGCTCGCGACGTGGTTCGCGAGCGTTGCTTCAGGCCCATCTCCAGTGACGTCGCTACCATCCATTCCATCGTCCACATCCTCCTTCGGAGGTCTTCTCCCTGACGCAGCGTGCAATCGACCCTGCAACCCGGGCATCATCGTTGCCGTCCATGAGCCGCCCGTCATCACTACCGAACGTTCCGCCATCGCCCTCCTTCAGAGGTTCTTTGGCTTGCAGGCTCGCGACGTGGTTCGCGAGCGTTGCTTCAGGCCCATCTCCAGTGACGTCGCCACCATCCATTCCATCGTCCACATCCTCCTTCGGAGGTCTTCTCCCTGACGCAGCGTG